TCAGAGGGATCCCCAGCCCGTAATGCTCTCTCTCTCTGGGCAGGTCTTTCTGAGGGCAGCCATTGCAATGGAGGTGCTTCTCCCTGGCACTGTAGGTCACACCTGTCATGGGACAGAGCCAGTGAGGAGTGTGTCGCTTAGTTCCAGGTAGTGGGTTTTTGAAATGTGAACTAGCAGAAACGGGGTGGGGAGGCATGCTACTCGGTTGGAAAGATGGGGCAGGGATGTCGTCAGCCAGCTGCACGGTCCTCCATGCTCAGGTCGGGTTCCCTTGAACCTTGGATGCGGTAGGGCTGTGGCTTTTTTCTTCATTATTAAGTTATGTTAAGCAGTGGCAGGTGTCCTATACGACACAGTCTTCCCCCCAGTCAAAGGCAGAGACAGCTGCCCCCGAGTCACTGCTGAGCAGGACGTGCTGGGCACCGCAGCAGACAGACCGCAGTCCCTCTGTGCCTTTGGGATGCCCTGAATACCAGTATTTCTCAGCTTTTTCCGGCCCATGACACACAGCTCACCATTTTGTACCAGGAGGGCACCTCTGCCTCGCCTCCCACCCCTTCCCCATGCCAACGCCTTCCCTCCACACCACACCCCCTGGCGGCGCTGTCTTGCCCCGCCGCTTCCCGTCTGAAATTGGTACCTTGGAGTGACGAGACTGACCCAGGATGTCCTGGACACACCCACGCGCCCTCCCGCCTGCTTGGAAAGCAGTGAATTCTCCTGCTCACAAGGAGAAAGAGGGGGTGATGCGTGAGGTTTGGATGACCTGGGGGACACTTAGAAGCGGGGGAAGGGGAAACAGAAGATGGGGAAGGTAGTGAAAGGGAGAAACTATTTCACAGCTGTTTATGGCTGTTTAAATGCTCCCTAAATTCTGCATTTTTCAGAAAAAAAAGTCTTTCCTGTTGGTAATTTCCTCTGAAATTGCCTTAATTCCCTTTCGTTCACCACAGAGCCTAACTGGACTCACACATGATGTGTGTACTTTAATAGTTCAGTTAGGGGCTTCCCTGGTGGCGCAGTGGTTAAGAATCCACCTGCCAGTGCAGGGGACATGGGTTCGACCCCTGGTCTGCGAAGATCCCACATGCCGCGGAGCAGTTAAGCCTGTGCGCCACAACTACTGAGCCCATGCGCCACAACTTCTGAAGCCTGTGTGCACCTAGAGCCTGCGCACCGCAACGAAGAGTAGCCCCCACTCGCCGCAGCTAGAGAAAGCCTGCGCGCGGCGACGGAAGACCCAATGCAGCCAAAAATAAAATAAATTTTTAAAAAAGATAGTTCACTTAGTGAATGGTGGTTAAAACACCCGCTCTGTGCTCAGCCCCGTGCCTTGCAGGGTTGTCCCCTCACGCACATGCAGGTCCCCACCGTGCCCTCTGGTGCTCCAGTTTGGGGGGTCAGGGGGGGCCTCCTGGAAGCTGGGGATGGAGGGGTGGGTGATGCGGGGGCCTGCAGTGAGGATGGCTGAGCGGCTGGGTGTCTGGTTGCCGTCCCGCCTCCACCGCTCGGGCTAAGCGTTTATCGTCCTCACCTCCGGCCTCTTTTCTGTGAGACAGGGACGGGGCCATCTACTTGATCCACGTCACAGACCCAGCAACTCAGCAAGTAATGGCAGGGGAGAGACGTTTTCTGGTTTTAATTTTTTTTCATTACTATTATTTTTAATTGTAGTGCATACAGTCTACCATTTTAGCCATTTCTAAGTGTACAGTTCAACGGCATTAAGTATCTTCTCTGAGGAAGCTTCCTAAAATTAACGATGCTTTAACAACTTCATCGTGATTCGTGTTGGGCCGTGAAGGTGAAGGTTTGTTACCATCCTGTAGGTTCCCAGAGGGCGGACGCTTGTGTGAGGGATGCAGAGGACAGGCAAGATGGGTGAGTCGGAGGCCGGGCTCGGTCTTTGCCGTGACCCTCGTGGGCCCTGCTCCCTCCTTCCTTGAACCTCCATATACACCTCACCCTCGTGCACAGTGGGTGTTGCCACAGACCTTCAGTCCCCTCCTGCCGTGGGTGTTCTGCATCCCATTGGCCGGGACACCCTGTCACCTCAGGGATGTTCCTGTATTACGGGAGCCTGGGCCCGCGCGGGGGACACGGGGGCCGGGTTGGGCCGAGGGGCCTACAGCATGGGGACCCCCGGGGCCCCAGAACATTTCCTCCAAAGCACTAAGTAAATAGCTTCATCCCCACATCCCTCCCCTGTGCTAAGAATTCAGACTCGCTTTGGTTTAGTGAATTGGTGTCAGGAGGCAAGGAATTTAGTTGAGGCCCGAGATTGTCAAGTAAGACCTTCCCGAGGGTTTCCTTCAGCTCTGAGCCCCGGCCGGCTGAAGGGCGGGAAAACCTCACGTTGATGGGTGTGCGAGTGGATGCACTTTCCTCAGTTTCACTGCCTGGAGTTGAGTCTACTTTTCCCCAGACACTGGGGACATTGCTGGCTTCTCGCCTCAGGGCAGAGCGGCAGCACGTGGCACCCATTTCTCTGTGGAAACGCCCTCCCCAGGGTGAGGATGGGTCCCGGGAGGGGCCGTGCACCCCAAGCCTCCTGTCATCGGCTGCCCCTCTGCGTCCAGGCCCCCGCACGAGCCCTCTGGACTCTCTCCCGAGCAAACGTCGTCTTTAATGAGAACGGAGGCGCCGCGGGGCTCGCAGGCAGGAAGCGTGTGGTTTGGGTCCGGGAGCACATGACGCCCCGGGAAGCAGCGGAGCCCGGGGTATGAGTCACTGGGGGAAGGAAAACAACGTCTGTCTTCAAGCTCCGGGAACTGGGAAAACGAGCTGGAAATCTGAGTAATGTATAATTTTACTAAAATTAACCAGCGAGGTCTTCAGATGGTTTCTGGGTGTTTCAGTGTCTTTTCCGGTCCTTGATGCCTGCCGCGTTCTGCCTGCGGGGGCCCATTCTCCCGTTCGCTCCCCGCGGGTTGACTTGGGACAGTCCCCATCGCTCCTCGGGCCCCTGCTGCGCTGTGCAGTGTCGCCGTGGTGCGGGGTGTGAGCACCGGCGCCCCCGGGCGACTCTCCAGCCTTCTGCCCGCTCCTCCGGCCCTGCGCCCCTCCCGGTGCTGTGGTGGTCACGGGGGAGCTTGTCGCCCCTGCCCGTGGTCGTGAGCCCATGAGAAGGGCTGTGTCTTCCTCTCTGTAACCGTCAGAAAATAGGGGCTCAGTTAACATCGGTTGAATATCGTGGGGCCTGAACTGGACGGAGGCGCGTTCCAAGTGACGTGTCCGGTCCCTGAGTTTGCAGGGTTCATGAAGTGACCTCTAGAAACCTCATTTCGGGGGGTAGGTTCGTGACACAATGACAAACCTCACTGTGTCAGGGAAGCAATTCACATAGCTCATCAAACACTGAATTTTTTTCAAATTTAGATGGAAACCTGATGCTGGAGATGACTCTGTGTGACAACGTAGTCTTTTCAGACACTGGTCACCTGTATACTCAGTAATAAGTACCCGTTCAGGGAAAAGCCTGGGGTTACTTTGGCATCATCACCACCTTCAGGTTATCTTGGGTTTGAGGGGCCTGAAGCCCATCGAGCCAGACGTCCCAGTTCTGTGCCGTTCTGCAGGAACATTCGGCGTTTGCGGTCATGACCGCGCAGCCCTTCACTGTAAAGGCCTGTAATGTCATCTGAATCATCACAGGAAGATGAAATCATGGACAGGCTGGTTTCAGAATTACTTTTTTTCTTTTCTATTTTTGGTATTGTAATTCTTTGAAACTTGTCAGGATCCATGTGGTGTGTATGGAACATCTCATCTACACTGTGACCAGAACATACTCTTCCGTGATTGTCTTCATGGGCTGCAAGTTTATTGTCTAATTGCTTCTAAGTCAGCTTGTATAGTCGACCAGCGAATAGTGCGAGGCTGGGGGGACACACCCATAAATTACATGCTGTGCCTTACGTGGTTCGTTGCCCTGTAGTTGACGAACTGAGCTTATAGCTGATTTGGTTCCACTAATGTCCATTGATCTCTCCACCGTCACAGAAGTCATTACCACATTTTTAGTTAGAATAGTTGCTCCTTTGTTATGAAAAAAAGACTGCTTTGGCAGCAGAGAACACAGCGGATTTAAGGGCTGAGACCTGAGGCACAAAGAACCCCTGGGGGGGGGGTGAAACCTGGGCCACGAGTTCCTGGGCTTCTACCGTGAGGCCCACCGCTACTGTGCGGAGTCATTCTCCCCGTTCTCAAAGAGACGCAGCGTGTGACCTTGCCCCTAGACGAGATCCATCAGGTTGCAGGCAGGGCCCTGCTACCGCCTCGTCCGGGTCCCACTCGGCCCGCACCTGCCTGTGGTTGGACTTTCCTACGGCAGGGCCCTCCCGCTGGCGCGCCAGGCTCTCCACGCTCCTCCACACCAGCCTGATCGCCACACCGTGAGCCAAACACCACGGCTCGCGGGCCAGTAGCCTCGGCCAGTGAGGAGACTGCACTGGGTCTCGGTCCCCTCGTCTGGGGCGGGGGTGGTTACAGCCTCCCCTTCTCAGTGCTGTTGGGAAGACTGAATGAGCTGAGGCCAGTGGAGCCTTAGAACAGGACCCGGCAGGTAGGAGGCATGGGGTTCCTTTGGCATCATCACCACCTTCATCCTTCTGAAGGCAGATCCTGGTCCAACCAAGTCAGCCTGGAGCACACAGGTGAGATCTCTGGGCTCCGAGCAAGTGGAGTTTGTTGAAGCAGCGCTCAGCCAGACTGCCGAGCAGGGGGCTGCTGTCTCGTCTGGATGGAGCTATGGAGCTGACTCTGGACCCTGGGAAGGTGCTTCTCCCCAGCACTCACCTGGGTTAGCATCCTGGCCCCTCAGTTACCGGTAGGCTCTTCGATCAGAGCCTCAGACGGTGGGGTGATGATTGTGTAATCTTTACCCACACCAAAGTGAGGGATGAAATGGTCAGTGTGAGTGTCTCACCACGGTTGCCAGCCCCCTTGCCTCCCAGAAGCTGCCAGGTTTTCCCGTCTGAGCGTTCACTCCTCTTTTTCAGGAACAAGACGGCCAACGGGGACTGCCGGAAAGACCCCCGGGAACGGAGCCGCAGCCCCATTGAGCGAGCCGTGGCCCCCACTATGAGCCTGCACGGCAGCCACCTGTACACGTCCCTCCCCAGCCTCAGCATGGAGCAGCCCCTTGCACTGACCAAGAACAGCCTGGACGCTGGCAGGCCGGCCGGCCTCTCGCCCACCATGACCCCAGTGGAGCGGCAGCAGGTACACCCTTGTCCAGCGCGGCTCGGCCGGTGGCCAGTAGTGGGTCTGGGGGCTTGGGGGATGGAGGGTGGGGTGCAAGGAAGGCGGTGACAGACGTGGGGAGTAACCCCACCCTCGGTTCTGTACTGAGGGTGGTTTTAATTCTGACCTGGGCCTGCCTAGGCCTCGCCCCTTGGGACTAATGGCTTCAGACAAGACAGTGTCTTTGGGGCTTAGTTTCTTTGCACGAGACGGGGTTGGTCTAGACTAGCTGTGTTTCTAGCAGTCTTCCTTGGCAGCCGTGTTTAGGGATCAATGTAATAATCCTCATAGGAATCCTACGTCAACCCGTTACAGGGCCACACGGATGGAGTTAAATGCCAGGTTGCTTTGCTTTGGGCTGGAATCCTATGAAGTCAGTGGTCACAGTGGCTAGTAGCTCCTGCTGGTCAGAAACCTGTGATTGGCAGACAAAGATTTTTTTTTTTTTTTTAGAAAATTAAGTTGTTACTTAATAAACACAGATTGCTTGGTAGGAAAAAAGGCTTTAAAAAATGGGGTTCCTGGGGGCTTCCCTGGTGGCGCAGTGGTTGAGAGTCCACCTGCCGATGCAGGGGACGTGGGTTCGTGCCCCAGTCCGGGAGGATCCAACATGCTGCGGAGCAGCTGGGCCCGTGAGCCATGGCCGCTGAGCCTGCGCGTCCGGAGCCTGTGCTCCGCAACGGGAGAGGCCACAACAGTGAGAGGCCCGTGTACCGTCAAAAAAAAAAAAAAAAAAAAAAAAAAAGTGGGGTTCCTGAGGGAAGAATTAATAAAAGGAGGCATTAGCCTTGAGGTTCAGAAACACTGCACGAACCCATGGCTTTTCTCTCTGAACCTTTGGGGCCTGTGACCTAATAGGTCCTCACTCAGTGTTTGCTTAAGACTCTTGGACCTGGACAGCGAGCAGAGGAGGTGGTGGGGCCGCCGGAGCCGGGCTCAGCCTCCAGGCCGCCGCTGTGTCCCTGGCCCGCGCCTGGTTCTGACCCAGTCTGTGACACCTGCTTGTGAGGGGCCCCGGGCGTTGGGCGAGGTTGCGCTGGTGCCTGTGGTTCCCAGTGAGGCTGATGGAGCCCAAAATCACAACCCTGTTTGTTTCCTTTGTTCTTTTAACAAAACTGCGTGGACACTTGCTTTGTGTAGGGAGTGTGTTAGAAACTGGTCAAGCTGGATGCGGGCGCTCACAGTTTTGAGTCTGGAGGAGACAGGGAGTCAAATAGCTCAAGTCTTAATGTATGAATTGGTGAGAACCAGGCTGAGTTAGCACGTAGTGAACACTCACCAGTGCTGCTGCGCCCCGGCGCTGGGAGGCCCTGGAGCTACAGGAAGGAAGGGAGTTATACTGGGAGGGCCCGGGGCGTCTCCCAGACCCAGGGTCGCGGGTACAGCCAGGCTCAGGAAGCAAGGGCCGGCTCTTGCCTGGGCGAGCAGATAGGAGGCAGGACCCTCCTTCCTCCCCTGGCCCCGTGCCTGTCTCTGCATCCTTTTCTCTCTCTGCTTCTGGATCACATGGCCAGCTCGGCGTGGCCGTCCCCCAGCTCCTGAGCTCAGCTTGAATCTTCTCCTGAGTCGGCCTCGGTGGTTGAGCCGCAGCTGAGGCAGATCTCCAGCCTGACCACGGGGCGAGGTCACTTATGAACATGGCTGCACAGCCCCATCTCGAGGATGGAGAGCACTTCACTACGAGAGGGCTGGCGGGGAGATCACGGGCTTGGGGGTTTAAATAGGCCCTTCAAAAGGTGGGCTGCACACTGCAGGCTGTCCTTCAGGTGCGGCATGACCAGCACCTGCAGGGCAGGACTCCTGGACGTGACCACGGGCCAGGCCCTCACATCCATCTCAGGCGATGCTCCACGCCCCTCAGGTACGAGTCTTCCCGTTTCATACTCAAAGAAATGGAAGCTTAGAGGGCTGAAGGTCCTGCCTACTGACTAGAGCTGGTTCACCCAGGTCCACCCGGCCTCAAAGCCATGTTCTCTCCTGTCTGCCATTGTCGTCCACACGGGGCGGTGTCACACCAACTCTCCTGGTGGCTCCATCCCATTGCTCACACGTGGAGTTAATAAAGCCCCAGATTCTTGGTTCACGTGCTGCCGCTAAGCTGCATCTTCTTCCATCCTGGATGTGTGGAATTTCTTGTTCGACCCAAGCACATCCCCGCTCACCGGTGTGGGTACAGATCTTCATCACAGACGTGTTCTTATCATTCGTGTTCACTTCCCATCGCAGGAAGGTTTGATGTGCAGACTTCACGGTGGCTACTGATCCACCTCTTTACGGGAAAGGCCGGGGGTGGACAAGGCCCGATTCCCTTGTTGACACTGCCTTTGGGGTGACCCTTCAGCTAGGTCCTGCTAGCTGTCTTGTCGTCCGGGTTTTCAGGAGTTAAGTTTCCTGGCTGGAACCTAAGGGCGCTCAGTTGGTTCACAGATGTTTTCTGTCCGGGTCTGGGGGTGCAGACTCTCGCTGGTCCCTGCTCTGAAGTGTGTGTGGTCGGGGAGGCAGGTGCCTCTGGAAGGGCTGGTATACTGGCTGAATGTGGGGCGGGCAGGGGGAGGGTCATGCTTCACAGAGATGATATTTGAACAGGGTTTTAAAGGACGAGCGGAGTTTGCCAGGCAGACTCTGCGGTGGTTTCGGGGAAGGAGGGCGAGCGTGGGCAGGCGCATGGGGTGAGGGTGCTTTGTGTGTGATTCAGGCACTTGGATAGATTCCTGCGTTTCTGTCTCCATCATGACTTGCATGGTCGTAACAGAAACCGACTTGAGCTGGCTTGGCTTGGGAAAAACCAGGAGTATATTAGAAGGGTCCTGGGATGGCCCAGAGAAGCCGGGGGTTGGGGGGAGGGTTCCGCGGATACACTCTGAGAAGGGCAGGGCCAGGCGCTCTCCGGACCGTGACGGTAGGAGCCGTGGTCCCTTTACAGCCCCGACTCGGCGATGGTCTCATTTCAGATCCGAGTGTTGGGACAGGCCAGCTCCCAACAGCCAAGCCTCTGTCCCACGTCCCTCACCGATCCACACTGCCACTGCCTCACACTGAGGGTCACTGCTCAGACAAGGGAGAGCTTGGGAGGGGGCCGAGCGCACCCCCCCCCCCCCCAAGACTCTCGTTCACGGTGGGTTCGGGTCGTTGAGCGGTGTGGCCCCCGACGTGAAGCAGGAGGCGGCACCTGGGCTTGACTGGATCTGCTGTTGGGCCGGCAGGGCTCCAGGAGGGGCTCCCGCAGAGCGTGGGTACTGGTGAGGCCCCGCGCCGAGGCACCACTCCAACACCGAGGCCGCCGGCACTTGGTTCTCCAGGCGGGACGGGTGCCCGGCGGGGGTATTGAGGGGCGCCGGGGTGGCCGCCCGGCCTTGGAGCTGGGCGGGGATACGAGGATGGGGTCGCCACTTGGGGCGGGGGAGCAGAACCGCTGCTGCCGCCTGTGTGCCCACGCCCGCACTGACGCCAGCTCCCTCCTTCCGCAGAACCGGCCCTCGGTGATCACGTGCGCCTCCGCCAGCGCCCGGAACTGCAACCTCTCCCACTGCCCCATCGCGCACAGCGGCTGCGCGGCCGGCCCGGCCAGCTACCGGAGGGCCCCGAGCTGTAAGTGCCCCGCTCAGACCACTGCAGGGGACTGAGGGCTCCTTCCGTGTCCTCTTGGTCCCAGGAGCGGCTGGCCTCTGGGCCCCTTTCTGAGGGAGGTTGACACCCTGTTCTTTGAGCCCCGGTGCAGTGGCCTTGTGCTTGGCGGGGGGGGGGGGGGGGGGGGGGCGGGGGGAGCAGCACGTCGGCCCCGCCCTCCAGGCCCCACCTCTAGCGGGGTCCGCCGGCTGCAGCACCGGGGGTCTGAACGCGTTCACGGCCCGGCGCAGCAGGCGCGCTGCCCCGTGGCAGGCTCAGAGAGGTGACCTGTGCGGGGGCCCCCCTGGTGTCCCCGGGTTCCAGCCCTGACCGCTGTCCCCCCCCCCCCCCGCAGCCGCCACCACCTGCGACCCCGTGGTGGAGGAGCATTTCCGCAGGAGCCTGGGCAAGAACTACAAGGAGCCCGAGCCGGCGCCCAACTCCGTGTCCATCACGGGCTCTGTGGACGACCACTTCGCCAAAGCCCTGGGCGACACATGGCTCCAGATCAAGGCGGCCAAGGACGGCGCGTCGAGCAGCCCCGAGTCGGCCTCTCGCAGGGGCCAGCCCGCCAGCCCCTCTGCCCACATGGTCAGCCACAGCCACTCCCCGTCTGTGGCCTCCTGAAGGGAGCACCGCCCTCCAACGCCACGTCCATCTGCATGGTTTGCCTGAGCTTCGAACAGTCAGTGCTTAAAAAATGGAAAAATGAAAAAAAAAATCGTGGGGGTGGGGGGAGGGAGGGATGGTTTATTCGCAAAAACCACGTCGTCGGGATTTTTGTTCTGTTTTGTACTTGCTTGGTATCCGTACCCGGGGCCCTCAGACGTGATAGCAGCACCTGCGCGTGGAACCTCTGTCCGCTGTCGCTCCCCAGTCCCTGCCTTGGTTACCAAAGAAGCCTCAATGCAGGTCAGCTGCCCGACAGGGCCTGGACTCCACGGCTTGCGCTTTCTTAGTCACGGGCCAGGCCACGGGTGACCCAGACGCTTTGTGCTTTTTCATTTGCTTCTCGAGACCGGGGCGTGTGCGGCTCAGCTTCCAGCCCACGTGTGTGTGTGTGCGCTTGTGTGTGTGCGTCTACTTGAAGAGAACAGAACTGTCGTGTCTGATTTGCACTATGGGAGGAGGACTCAAGTTGCCTGCCTGACAACTTTGTGCGAGATGATAGTACTCTGAGGGCAAACTGCTGAAAAACGGAGGGTTTAAGGATGACATTTCTGACCATGGGTGTGTTTTTCTGTTGTTGTATTAATTTAGACAAAACTGCTTTGGAAGGGGAAGTCTCATGCAGGTTTATAGGTCTTTCTCTGTCTAGATTTTCAGGTGCTTGCAACTGGACTGCAGACTCTACCAATCACGGGCATTTTACCTTTTCTAAACACTGCAGTTTGTTAGACTAGAGCTGAAGTTGGAGGATTCTGTAGTGCTTTAAACGTGATGCATGTTTTAATGGATAAAAATAGCTGGTTTCTATTAATTGTATAGACAGTAAACAGAAAGCTTAATACTTAGTAGCTTCTTTTCAGAATTCGTTTATTTTTGTCAGTTACAGTCCTAGATATACTTACTGCTGGTACAGTTGTACTCTAAGATTTGTGTTTGATATTCACGTTACTCCCGAGTAGCGTGGGGCCAGTCGGTCCCTGGCAGGCCCTGGACACAGGCGGGCGAGTGGCTGGTCAGCTGCAGAGCAGGATGCTCGAGTTGCGGCTGCAGGCTGACAGCATCAGTTATTTTTTGCATCCCTGTCTGCTTCTTAACGCGCTCCCAGGGCAGTTGGGACTTGTGTCTTCCAACTTCCCTCGATGCAGAAACTGCTCCCTTTGAACTCGTGGCTGAACAGCAGATTCCTGACAATCTGTGAGATGGTGTTTTGTATGCTTCCTCGTACGCTGGGGCCAAGGCAGTATACATTCCTCTGACTTTATACAGTTATTACTGCATTTATTATCGTTTGCTATAGTAATAGCTACTAACTAGAACTTAGTGAAGAAGAAAGCATGACAGACCCAGCTGTGGATGTTCGACAGCTGCTCTTCTTTCTGGTAAACGTTTCCATGCCCCTGCCCCTCCCCTGTGCTACTACCCTCCAGCCTTGCCCACCACAGGGCCTGAGCAGTCACCTGGCCCGGTGACTCGGGCATGACCGCCTCACCCGCGAGGCACCGTGGACTCACCGGAGCTCTCGAGGCTGGTTGTCAGTATGAGAAAAGTACAGGTTCGCTGGTTGGCATTGGTGAACAGGCAGGAGGATGGGCTCTTGTGGCCACAGGGTGGCTGTAGGTATTTGAAAAGGCGGAGGAAAGCCTCCCCTTTTGGCCCCCGCACGTGTTTCCCTCCCACTTAACTGGGCTTCCAGGCTTCTGCATTCAGGCCCCTATATTTTCTGTAGGAAAAATCGTTGAGAACACTTTTTTTATATAGGTAACTTTAAGACCATCATTACGCTGTGCGTAAAGAATGTACAGAGAAATTTGTAGGTATTTTTTGAAGAACAATTAATTTGTTAATGATATGTAGCTATTTAATTTTTCCCTTTCCTATTGTAATCATTCATATTTTTTTGTTGTTTGGAAAAAAAAGTTGATCTTTTTTTTGTCGTAGATTTGTCTGTAAAAGTGCAGGAACACAGTTATTCTATGAGAACACTGCATCTGCCTTAATAGCCACTAGTTTGTTATTGCTACAGGCTACTGAGCGTCGCCCCAGGAAAACAACCCCACTGCCGGCGGCTCTGTGCAGAACGGGCTCCTCGCACGCCCGCGTCCACCAGCGAGGCCATCGCTTTGCGAGGGACGGTGGCACTGAGGGGCCGGGTCCCTGGTGCGCTGACCTATCTGGGATAGGCAGCACCTGGGAGGGGCCTCGGGCAGGAAACCAAACGGTCACCAGGAAGGGACACTCCCAGGCCTCGGGGGGCACAGAGAGGTTCTTCACAGAGCCACGCCATCTGCAGTGTGTTCTGACCATTCTCTCCATGTTTGTAAATCTGTAATATACCATTCTCTGTGTGGCCTGTTTTTCCTGGAAGAAGAAGAAAAAAAAAGGTTTGGCAGGCCATCTTTTTTTTGTACTTAAAAGTAGCCTTAAGAACAATAATAAAGTGCTCTTAAACCACAGACTGTATGTGTGATCCTTGGGTCCTGCAGTGACAGAGCCAGGCTGGGCGGGACCTTTGCTTGAAGCCCCAGAGAGGCTGGGGCAAGGCTCAGCAGCCCTGCCCTGCTGTACAGTGGCCTCTGATTTAAGCCCCGCACAGGCTGGAAAGCTGTAATTTTAACTCTCTAGGAGTAACGTCATTTACCTAACTAACTTACTTACAGAAATCCAACTCTTGTACGACTCAGACTCAATTCTGACTTTGGTTCCAGGCCCAAGACAAAAAAGATGACACCACAGAAATAAAGTGGAAATGGCCCCTCTCCTGGGTTCCATGCCCAGCTCTGAGGCTGGCACGGACGTGCTCACCCAGGAGGAGGAGGAAAATCAGCCCAAGGGGCCCACGGCAGAGCCCTCCCGCCACCCCTGATGGACACCTGGCCACAGGCTGAGGCAGACACACCACGGACTCCAGCCCACACAGAGTCGGGCCTTCCAGGCCACCACCAGGGAGGAGCCTGGGACGGAAGGCGCAGCCGCCCCTGCTTGTGGCAGGAGAGCAGGCTCTCACGTGGGGTCTGAAGCCTTCTCTGGGCCTCGGGTGTCCTGTACAGAGGCAGGAGCGGCCCCACGCAGGCAGCTTCGAGGATCTGTCCCTGGGCCCTGCCACCAGCACAAAGCAGCAGACACTTGTGTCCTCCCAAGCCCGCAGCTGAGGACAGGCCCGCAGGCGGGGGGAGCTGTCTGGGCAGCAGACTCCGTCCTCAGCGGGGGTCTGGGTTCACAGGGACAAGTGCGGTCCCTTCTGTCCCGCACGTGCCTCAGCTCTCCTGCCGCCCCCGCCTGCAGGCCACGCTGACGAGAACCCCAGCGCTCACACGTGCCCGGGGCCCCTCTGCGGGCTTTGTGGCACTGCCCCCGCGATGGCTGCGGCAAGGAGCTGACTTCTCACTTCCCTGCCTGCTCTGCATTGGGCCAACTCCTCCCTCTCCTCATTCCACCCCATGGGGGTCACGGCCAGGAGAATCCCGGGAGCCTGACTACCAAACACGTGTGACAACGAGAAGAAAGAACTGCTCGTGGAGGGAACCAAGTCCCAGATCACTGGCAAGGCCGAAGCCAAGGTTATTATTTAGCTGAGAACTGGTGGGACCATGAATCATAAGAAACGGAGAAGCTCCCGGGCAGCAGAGGGAGGGCCCCAGTCCTTAAGGTATGGAGATGAGGGGACCACAAAGGTTGGAGAATCACCACAATCACCGGTCCTGGGGGCAGCGTCCTGCTCTGGAGACTGAGAGCCCCTCAGCGGGCCGGCAGCCAGGGTGGGGGGCGTGTCAGACGGTCTCGTCGTCGCTCATGTCCCAGATCTGCGTGGAGAACGAGAGATGTTCAGAGCGTTCGTTCACCCGGCACCACCTGTGATGCTGCCTCAAAGCCGTGCAGCTGTGGTGACAGCAAAAGGAACACGGCTGCCACCTGCAGTGCCTCAGCCCCCTTGTCACCAAGGGACTGACACCCCGTTTCCTGTATAACGAAACCACGTCTCAGAGCCCTGCGGTCACTTGCCCAAGGCCTCCCTGGTGAATGAGCCCCCGGTGGCCGAGCTGGGGGAGCTGGGATTTGGACCGGGCCGTGCGGACCCTCCCACTGCTGCAGCGTCCCTGCCCCGCCCAGCCCCCCACTCACTCCCATTTCTCTGGCGCTGACCACTGCTGCCCTCCAGAGTAAGCCCTCTGGCCACCACGGGCCCCGGGGAACGAGAGGAATGAGGGGGGCCCTGCCCGCTGGCCCCCACAGGCCCAGCTTTGTCTCTGCACCCCCAGCGTGAACCGCCGGGAGAAGGCCCAAGGCCAGCATGGAGCCCCCAGGCGCTCCTCGCACCCTGTGCGCCTGGGCCCTGAACTTACGCCTACAGACTTTCAAAATTCCTAGAATTGGTTGCAAAAGGCCACCTCAGTGCTGGCAGAGCCGAGGAAAGGAACATCGTGTTTACGCGAGGCTGGCCCGGAGAGATGGGGAGTCCCAGCCAAGGTAAATATCAACACCAGCTTGGCTTTCAGTGTCGGGGATGTGGAAAATAAATACAGAGAAGGAAATTTCCTCTCTCCTGAGGACCAACTGCCTGGGGCCGAGGGCTGGTGGTGGGTGTGCCTCCCACACACACCCGCACTTTTACATGCACCCTGCTGTCCAAGGACACTGGGACGAGACCACCAAGGTCCAGACGCCCGAAGCAGCGGGGATGGTGTGGAGGGCCTGGGGCTGGGGCCCAGCAGCCTGAGGGTGGCCTGGTGGCCCTGCCCTTTTCTGGGCCAGGCTCCCCGCCCGGATCCTCCTCAGCAAGGCTTGAAACAGACCCCTGGGCCTGCCCCCTCGGGTGGGATGGGGGCTGGCGGTGGAGGAGCTGTTGCCTTTCCGACTAAGGCTGCATCGGACGCACCTCCAGTTCTAGCCATCTGAGTGGGGGAAGGGGCACCAGAGGGCTCTCTGACACAATTCATTTATTCTTTCACTCTCTCATTCAGTAAACACACGCGGGCTCTGCCGACCTGGCGCAGATGCTCCCTCCTTCACTCCTCACAACAGCCTGTGAGGAGGTGTAGATGCAAACAGGCTCAGAGAAGGAGTCAACTAGCCCAGGATCACACAGCAAGTAAGGTACAGAGCTGGGAACACAGGTGAGAGGGAAAGGGTTATGTGAGTAAAAAGGCTGCTTGGAGGAGGGGGCCAGGCCAAGACGAGGGGGGTGAGCCCGGCGGGCCACGGCCCCCTCTGTCCTCCCGCCCAGCCTCCGGGGAGGGGGGCCGCCAGCCAGGGCCGGGCAGAGTCCGTGTCAGTGAGCAACGCTCTCCTGCAAGTGGGTAGCCAGGGCTCTTCACAGGACCCTGGGGGCTTTAATGGGAAAGCAGGAGCCTCAATCCGTTCTGTCATCCATCTTATTGGCTCTCAGCTCTGGGGAGGACTCCTCAGCACCCGGCCCTACCTCTGCACACGGCAGGGCGGGGAGAGAGCTGGCTTGAGCGTGGGCAGCAGGGAGGGATCCTGGCTCTTCCCCTTGTTCCTGGCACTGCCCAGGCTGCGTAGGGGATCAAGTAAGGCACCCAAAGGGCTGATTATGATGGGACTCAGCAAAAGCGGGGTTGCGGGGAGGCAATGGATTTTACAGAACTGCTCAGGGATTTTCCAGAATGTGTTCTCTGGGCCGGAGATGGGGTTTCTCTGCTAGGGCAGCCAGTCCTTTTGCCGTTGGCTGGGCTCAGGAGGGCAGCAGCAGTCTTAAGTGTAAACTTCCAGAAACTTCAGCCTCGACAAATACTGTATGGTATCACTTAACGTGTAGAATCTAAAAAAGCCAAACTCATAGAACCAGAGAGTAGATGGATGGTTGCCAGGCCCTGGAGGGGATGGGGAGATGGTCACAGGGTACAAGCTTTCAGTTATAAGCAGCATAAATCCTGAGGATCTAGTGTATAGCCTACTGACTGTAGTTTATAGTACTGTATACTTTTTAAATTTGCTAAGAGGGTAGATCTTAAGTGTTCTTACCACAAATAAAAAAAGGGCTGTGAGCTGAAGGATGTGTTAATTAACTTGACTGTGGACATCATTTCAAAAGTATACACATATTAAATGATCACACTGTATACCTTTAAAAAATCACATGTACAACCTAAATATATAGTTTTAATTTGTTAGCCATTCCTCAATAAAGTTGGGGGCAGGGGAGAAACTTAAGCCTCAACTCCTGGTAGACCGTGGACTCCCAGGTTAGTCTGTTCCCTGCTAGGTCCTCAGCCTTCTGCCCACCACCTGGGGAAGACGGGGGGAAGACGGGGCCGTGTCCTCTTAATGAATAAAGGTTGTAATAAACTGGCAAAGATTTTAAAAATGTTAACACTCAGTGCTGGCAAGGGTATGGTGAAACACTTCCAGGAGGAGTATAAATTGGTACCGTATTTTTTTAAAAGAAGAGATTTGGCAATATGTAACGCAAAGCTTTAAAAATGTCCGTACCCTAAGGAAGAGATAAATGATCTCTTTTGCAGATGATATGCAAGTATACCTAGAAAACCCAAGAAAATAAATGCTAAGATGAATACAGATAATAACGAGTATTCAGTAAGATAGCAAGATATGAAATTAATGACACAAAATTATAGCCTTCCTGCATACAAACAACATCCAGTTAGAAAACATAACGAAAGAGAAGAACCCATTGTAAGAGCAATGAAAAAGATAAATTACTAGGGAGTAAACCTAACATGAAATGCACAACATCTTTAGGGAGAAAATCCTTCAAAACAGTCCTGTAACAGTCCTCACAAACACTGTATGAAAAGTAAACTGGGATAAATGGGGATACACCCTGTGTTTTTTGCATGGGACAACTCAACATCAATAAAGATGTCAACTTTCCCAAGTAAACATATAAATTTAACACAATCTCAGTTTTTAAAAAATCAAGTATCTTTCCTGGAGCTAGACAAGCTGGTTTTAAAGTTTATGTGGAAAAGGAAATAAGCAAGACTATCTAAGAAAACCTTTGAGTATGAAAAGAGCAGTGAGGCAGTTCCCCTACTCTGTGTTTAAACAAGTCATAAAGCCTGTAATTTACAGGGTTGTGTCAGCAGGAGCACAGACAAATGGGCCAGTGGAACCAAATGAGTCGAGAAACAGAACAGAACAGAATGTCCCAATACACATGGAAATTTAGTATCTTAATAATAAAGGTCTGAGGAATGCGATCTCAAATCATTAGAAAAATATGAGCTTTTAAATAAACGACATAGGGACAACTGGAGAGTCATCTGCAAAAAGATAAAATTGATTCCATGCCTCACTGTATATCAGAATCAAGGCCAAATGGAGCAGAGATGTAAGTGTAAAAAAATGAAACCATTCAAATACTGGACGCAAACGTGGGTGAATTTCTTTATAACTTGGGAGTGGGGAGCCGATGATCCAAAATCTATAAACAATAAAAACAGATACAGTGGATGATGTAAAGACACACGTGAGG